CTTTGGCCATGTTTTGTAACAACATCACATGACGAAGCTTGTGGTTAACATATTGTACAGGGTGAGAGTTACTGGACATCTCAAGTTTTCATGCACTGTAAAAAATGTCAGTCCTAACAGGGTCAGTTAAAGTTGAAGACAACAGGGACCTGAAATTGCTTGGGGATAAAATGAGAATTGAAATTACTTATACTGTACAGTATTTGGGGATTTTAAGATGTTTTTTTCCCCAGTGTGTACTCGACCTAATCTGTGCTGCCACAGGCTGCCCCTCTCTTTTTGAGATGGTTGTTGTTACTTAACTTGAAGTTCCTATGTAGAGAAAGGTCCTCTAGATACTTGTCTAAATCTGCACTGAACTGTTGGGCTTCCAAACATTCTTATACAATGCTTGTCTGAACACAGCAGCTTTTTTATGTATCATAAAGGTATTGGAGCGGCTGATCATGGCACAGCTTGGGTTTAAACATTTGACTATTATTTGATAGTTTAAATCAGAATTAACAAATCTGATGTGACTTTAGAAAAACCCGATTTCATAAAACAGCAACTTAGCTAAGCAAACATTATCAAGGTAGACCAGCTGTCAGGAATTTAGTCAAAACTCAAGGGGCTTTGGTTATTGGTAGGTTAGATGTAACCTGACAGCAAAAGGTGGGCACTTTCAGGCAGGCAAAAATACTTGGCAGGTGTTTGGATGAACCATCTGTCTATCACCTTGTATCATGGGCGAACATCAACCAATCAAATCAACAATAGCTGTCATTCCTTCCTCAAGGAATTCTGATTGATCCAATACCACTGTACAGGCCACAAGCATAAATTGAAGCTTGGAAAGATGGATTCTTGCGTGATTTTGTGATCTTGTCAGTCCAGCTGTCTCGCAAAGTTATGAAGAGCTCCAAGCCTCTATTAAAACTGGGAAAATTATGTTCAAATTTCATCTTAGCTTATATAACGTTTATTTTAATAAAATTTGGACTAAACTTCTACAGCATGTCCATGACACATTTATTGGAAAAAGCTGTGTGCTATGTGCTACAGGGTTAGTGTGCAGATTAATCAGAGATGACTAATTAGACAAAGTGTATGTGTACAACAGAATGCAACTTGATTTTGCAGGTCTAATCATTTAGGATGAAGAGGAGAGGTTAGTGGGGTCATAGCCTATTGGTCTCCATTAGGTTGTAAACATGGAAATCCAACTTTACCGGGTCACCTCAAGTTCAGGCATTTCTCTGTCATCAAGATAATAACCCAGTTTTCGTCAGATGTCATAGATCAGTGGTCATCCTCTATCAGTGGCTTTGTGGCTGTAAGATGTTACCGGTCAAAGGTCACAGGTAGTAGTACTGCTTTGAGGTCCAAGTCCCCAAAGCAATCATCTTATGACAGGGAGAAAGGAAAGTGCTGAGTGGCACAGCGGATGATCTAAAGGGTTCCTGTTAAATGTTGTTGTTCACTAGATGTGTGCTTGTTTATTGCTTCCTTCCTCTTGGCATCCTTTCTTTGTTTCCATATGCCAAACTCACAGTCAGTGTCACCCATCAGTACAGAGGAGTACTCATTTGGCGGCCACCTCTGATTTCAGGTGACGACATTTGAATGTGATTCAGTAATCTGATGTTTGTCATGTTATTGGCAGGCTATCGATTAGCTGTCAGAATATAGTACTTCTACCAAGTGATGGTTGTCTTATAAACACATTTAATTTGCATTTGTATTTGTACAATTTAATGTAAATAGCTAGTGCCTGCAAGTTAGCATCATTGTTTCCTTCCAAAAATCCCCTGTAAGGGTCTTTCAAAGCCAGACACAACCACTGTCTTATGATTTTTTATTGAACTTGTTTTGGAAATGAAGCTCAGGACACACATCTGTGTGTTATAGTAGCTTAAAATTAAAACAAATGTATATTTATGTGTAGATATATTTGCTGTTTTAACAATCTTTTGAAAGAGTAACTCAATGAACCATGAAAATCTTGTCTTTGCTGCAGTAATAAGCACATTGTAATAGTAATATATATTACTATTATAAGTAATAGTACATCACTGTTGAGTGCAACAGCAACAAAGCACATGTCTGACCACACCCATGAGCTGGATGTGGTTTGAGATGAAACAGGCTTGAAACTTTCAAGAGGACAGCTAAACACTGTAGGTGGCACAGAAACACCACATGTTTCTCTATAAATGTGCTAATGGATTTAACACTGAAATAGGATTACTTGATATTCAGGCTGTTTATGGCTGCCCTACCAGTAGCTGCAGTCTAAAAAATAACCTTGTGACTTTTCTTGTAACAGCTCTCACTGCTTCCCCCTCATAATTCCTAAAAATCACACTGAACAGATGACCTTTACCACAATCTGTTCTTTCTTTTCAATTAGTCTCTGCACTACCCCATAAATGATTCATAGAACTCAACCTGAGCCTGTATTAATAACTAATAAGGATAAGTGATATTAGGGAACAGCTAGTATGCTGGCACAGCAGAGGGTCAAAAAGGTCTGAGATTACACTGGTCACGCCGAGACAAAATGTCCATTCCTGACGCCTGATCAAGAACACAAATGGTCTAGTTCATTACGTGCCATTTGGTTTTGGGAATTATTGCTGCTGGTATAGTCTGCTACAGCTCTGTATAATGGTTTGTTTAGGCTGCCACATACAGTAAAAGGCGGCTGTACTCAGAATTTGTGAAATATTAGTTGATCACTTGATCCTCTGGCTAGATAATGCAAACAGCTCGCAACCTCCAGGATTTAATCTGTTTAATCCCTCTTTTCGCTAATATGGGTTAAGAGGATTTCTTCTATACGTTATTATGGCATCAGACAAGCCATTTCCTGAGAAGAGATAATTTCCTTTTTTAAATCTCAGCATCATATGTTTGACTCTATTATTCAGTAAAAATATCTTAAAGGTTTCTTCTTCTGCACACAAACAATACTGTACATAAAAGTATTCACACATCTACGCTCACCTGCACTCACGTTACCAAAAAGGAGAACAAATACAACATCTACCGTGGTAGCATCAAAGTGTCCTTTCCCATTGATTTCCTGTTTCTGTATCACAGAGAAACAGGTTGGCTAATAAGGCTAAGTTATGCAACAGCATGCAGCTATAGGCTTTTACCCATAAATCCCTGCCAGTGCTCAACTTGAGGAGATTAAAGTTGAGTGAATGCCCACCCTGACAGCAGCACATGGAAGTGGTGGCTGCTGGGTCATTTTCAGTTATTTTTCACTCTGCTGGAAAAGAAAGGAGAAACTTTACTTTTGCTTTTACTTTTTATTTCTACTCAGTGATATTCTGTGCTTTCAATGTTATAGAAGAGTGTACCTATTCACCCTCTTTTTTACTCCAGCTTTCTCAGTGATTAATTCAAGAGTTGTGGATGCTAATCACAAGAGAGCTGAATCAAGAGTCTGTGAAATCACTTCTGTTTGCTCTCCATAATTCCTCCATGCAAACAGAAAGGAAATATTTGTTTATTGTCTCATCTCTCTGCCTCTGAATTCTGGGACAAACACTGTTAAGTATATGCTTGGTTTGGAGAGCATGCCTTGTTTCTTTTAATCCAGTTATTCCTCTGCGTGTGAAGACTACATGACGATCTGGCTGATGTATGTCTCTTTGTTCAGTGTCGGCTCGTCATCTGACTTGCAAAGGGAAGCACTTATTTCTGCTCTGTCGGCTCTTTCTGTATTTAAAACTTCATTTTTAATTAGCCAGCCCATATTCAGGCCCACATTAAATGCAGATAACTACCATTACTCTCTGCAAAGGCACTTGTCCCGCTGTAATAAATTTAGATTTTATTATTAGTGTCATTATTTTCGCCAGTGCCATCAGTTTGCTCTAGCTACAATGCCCACAGCTCAGCAGGTTTCTGCTTGGTTGCGGCTTTGTGCCAAAAGATTTATTTGTTTTACCTTGTTAGATCAGTTGTGTCCGAGAGACCAGAGCGACTGTTGTTTAGTAGAGGGTCAAAAATATGACTTGAAGAGGTCTAGTGACAACGAAGACAGGTTACATAGTGTTCCCACTGTCAATCATAGACTTATATATCTTTAATAAATTTGGCCACAGCAAAAGGCCAAGTTCAGGACTGTAGCAGGGACTGTGGAAATACAGAGGTCATGAATTTCTCCACAACCCCACTCACCACAAGATTTCCAACTTATTTATTTATTTAACTGTTCAAGATTCATTGTGTACCATATAGGATGATCTATTTGGAGGAATTAAATGTAATATTAATATAATTATAATATTAATTTTTTCATTAGTATATAATACATATAATATATAATCACCTGAAAATAAGAATTGTGTTTTTCGTTACCTTAGAATGAGACATTTTTATCTACAGAGGGAGTAGTCCTCTTCTACAGAGGCCACCATGTTCAATCGCCATGCTTCTACAGCAGTCCAGAACGGACAAACCAAACTGGCTCTTGTAGCTTTCTTGCTCTACCTCAGCTCCACACAGGCTCCACCTTGCTGCAGAAATGAAGAAAACTAGACAAGATGGAGATGCATAAACTTACTTCAGACTGTGTCTGAAGTTCATTGGCATCAATGTTAAGGCAAAACAAGTTTGTGTAATTCAAAGTAACTTGGACTTATTTTTACTCTCAGCTTTACCACCTCTCTTGCCTAATTGGGATTTCCCAGGATGTAAGCAGAAACCTTGAAAAGTCCCTTCAGAAACCTATGCGTTATATGACAGACCCTAATTCCAAGTTGGATCACTATTAAATGGTTTGGAAGCTATTTGGAGAAGGAAAGAAAGCATGCTCAGTGATTTCTCTTTGGAAAATCAATTACTGTGATTTTCCTTGCCTCATTGCATAAAATGAGCACAATATACTCGATATGTGAGGGGTTGAAAGTGTTGCCGGTCAATACCAGTGACTAATGATTTCTTACTATGTTTCTGTGTGTGCATGAAAGTAACAGAACTTTCTCTTTTTTCTCTCTCTTTAGCCAACAATTTTTGGGACATTAACCAATGAGAGAGCACTGTTTGACTGCAGACTGGTGAGTCACCTCAGTATAAACTTTTATTAACTGAATAAAAATGATGATGCTCACAAAGTCAGGACATTTGGGTTTTAAGGGTGTCAGGGTGCTGTTGGTTTTAATTGAAAAACAGAAAGTAAAGGGAATTTTAATTAACCTAAAATTCCTGAGGATAAAAATTCCCAAAAGCAGCAACAGATGTCTCTATTACTCTGTGTTTGTGTGTGTGTGTGTATGTGTGTCAGACTGTGTGTGTATTATTGTTTTTCAAAGCTGAGTTTACCCTCTAAATATGGTGCAATCTGAGTTTTTGTTCATATTAATACATTTATAAAATAATGTCCTTATTTAAGCACCACCATTTCCCTGCATGACAGATGGCAAAGATCTTGTCTCTTTGTTGATGATACCATTTTTTGATGGAACACAAAGACTTCCTTGGTTTCTCTGTTGTTGTGTAATGCAAATGCCGATGGCAGACGCCACAGAAAGCCAATTAACCAGCAACAGAGGAAATTATTAAGCTGCCCGGTTGTTTGCCTGGCTAGATACATCGGAGGAGGGGAGTCTGGGGTGAGTCTGTGCCAACTGGCACATGACTTATTTAATTACTTAGCCCTGCAGCACCGACTGAATCTAGCAGATTTATGGATTCGTCCATTTCCCATTTATCAGCAAACAATAAAAGCCTCCCTTTATGCTCCATCTCTAAAGCACTCTTGGGCCCTGTGACCATTAAGCAGGATTTCCCTGCTCTGTCTATAGGCCTTTGCCTTTTTTTTAGTCTGGTCTAAGTAATGGGCCGCAGCAGGTGGGTGGGCGGTCCAGTGTTGATTCACAGGTACAATATGTATTAGAAAGCCTGATCATGAAAGACTGTTTAAACCCTTTGAGAGTGTGAAGAGCCAAACCTGGTCCAAAGCCAGACTGGATTATTGATGTTTGGTGGCATTTATTGCCATGTGTCCAACTTTTTTGGCTGCTGAGGAACAAAGTCTTTCACTTCAATCTACATTTTGGTTTGGATTGCTAATGGGAGGAAAGAACAAATAGAAACTTTTTTTTCAAGTTAAAGCAATAGGTGAGCCAATATTTTCTTTTCAATAGAAATTGCCAATCTGCCCATCAGTGTTACCGCACTAGCCGATCACACAGAGAAGCACCTATACAGGCGCAGCCACCTTAAAAAGGCCTTGGCATAGAGTGTTGGGAAAAAAACAGCTGGTTTAGCTCTAGATGTGTAAACTTTTGCTTAATTTCAAAGAGGTGGATAACTCGGTTTACTCTGGTTTACCCCCCACTACACCCCTGCTCCATAGCTCTCTCACAGTCCAGCAGCTAACTAGTTCTCTAGCTAATCAGAATAGTATATGCAGCATCAAAACGGGAAGGAAGTGGTAAAGTAGTAAAGCCTGCCTCTTGCTTAATTTGATTGGGTGTATGGGCTAAGTGGGACAGTGATTAGTGGTTTGACTCTGCCCCTTGAAAAAGTGAAAATATTTCAACTTTTATGCGCTTTAGAAAACTGTGATGCACGGCACAAGACAGGAGCATTGTACCATAGGAAAACAATGGTTATGCAGGTGACGCATATGTAGTTTTTTTGAGAACCAAATCAATTTTAACAGACTACTTATACAAAATCCTAAATAAACCCAAATATTGCCACATTTAATGCCACTACAGTAATCATTTCTGGAGCCAGATTTCCAATTTCTGTATTGTTGATTCCTGTTTTAACCTGTGGGTCATGGTCATAATTTTGTTAGCCCTTGACCAAAAACCAAATCTGAATTTTAAAATAAATAATGTACCTTGTGGGAACCAGTTTGAGTCCCAACAATGTAGCTGTGTGAACATATTTTTGTCTCTGCAACATAATTGATACAAATTTTAGGCTGATTTGTAGAGTCATAAGGTAATTTTTTAAGAAGTAATGGTAATTTTATTTGAAGTAAGTCCAACCTTTTTTGTAAAGTGGTAAAAGAAAATCCAGATGGAGTAGGTAATGTATTAAAATCTCTGTCACTCATCACCCCACTCTGCATATGTGCACGCATTGGGGGGTCACAAATCAGACCTTGTAGGGTTCATGGGCTAAAACTCTTGAGAACCACCACATTAGATAATGCCAGGCTTTGGCTGAAGATAATCCACTCAGGGTTCATTTCCCTTTTCCTGAGGTTATGGGAGGGTTTCTCTTCCTCTCTGGCTGAAATCTCCTCTGGATTTAGCGTTTGGCTCAAAAGTGTGAAGGCACAGGTGGAAAGATGGTCAGGCGCTGGCCGAGGATTATGCTAACGTTATGCATACTGAAGAATAGCACTCTCGGTGGGACAGGCAGCCAGAGAAGACAGCCGCCATGATATCACCACAGACGGCTTAACTCTCATGCATCAGAAGGCTTTGTGGGATTAATCTAATAATAAAGCCAGAATTGTGCCTAAATCCTAATTGATTTTTTTCACCATTATGGACATTGTACTCATCATTGTATAGTGGATAAATCCAACATGCAGCTGAGTCTGACTCTGGTCCTGAATCTCTGTCAGGGAACTGAGAAGTGTAACTAGGATAAACTGTAATTTTCTACATTTTGTAAAGTAGAACAGGAAGAAAAAGCCTTAATTCTGCAATTTTTGTCAAGATTTTCTAATATGGTTTCTGCATGTTGTGTTCAGACTGGAGATGCATCATCTAATATAGAGCCTGATACAAATAAGTCTTTAATACTACTGCCATTAACTTGATGCTGCTGTAATTTAATGACAGATAATTTACTGCAGTCATTTGTCGACAGTTATGTAGCTCTTTGATTTTAATTAAAGATGAATAAATAAACAGACGAATAAAACGGCACCAAAAGGCTTATAATGAATCTGGAGCCTTTGACCGTTAAAAGGGATGGGTTTCCCATGACAACGAAAGCAGGATGCCGACTGAGGAAGCAAATGGTGTGAATTTTAATGAAGGTGGGGTTTTGGTAGTGGGTTGAGTGTCTCCTATTAAATCAGCTAGGAGTTGTGTTCACAGTCTTCTACCATTAAGAGTACTTCTGAAATATTTAAAGTAGAATCCCAAGGTGACACATCAGCTTGGTTTGTTCAAATAATAGTCCAAAACCCTTAAAGTTATTTATTTTATATTTAGCAGATAAAAATCAAATCCTGAACTCTCGATGCAAGTTCAGTTAGACAACTCGTGTTTGAAATGTTTATTACAGCAGTATAGCATAGTTAGATTTTGGCATCTAGGCTTCGACCGCATCCCCGCAGATATGTTTACATAGAGATATTTGGGAGTGATGAGCAAATACCTTTAAACCCCCTAGCCTACAGGTTGATGCTGGGGTGGTGGTCAGGCTTACAGAACGACAGGCAGCAATACTGATGCAGTGTAGCAGCGGCATTGACAGAGCAGAGGGAGAGCTGGGAAATTTTGCCGTTAAAATAGACAGATTGGTAGGGTTTTTAAATAGATATTGTAATGATAATAGTCATATTTTAGTTTTAGTTTTTAGTCAAAAAAGCCCCAAAACCCTCACAAAACCTAGGGAAACCCCTGATACATATGTGAGTATTTTATTTGTCTATCTATGGTTTAAGGTTTTTTGGTTGGGTCTTTTTTCTGTAGTATATGTCTTGAGCCTGTATTTAAACTATAACTTCATGTACATCTATGGACTTCCTACTCCTAGTAAATTTCACTTTTTTTGTGTAAGGGTGACACTTCAAATGTGGTCACCCTAGGGCACCACACTGTGTTAATCTGGGTCTGACAGAACTGCTTGGCAAATGGATAAACTAAAATCACCAACTGTTATTTAAACATTTCAGTGTGTGTGCGGATTCTTCAAATGAGATACAATGTGTTCAATTGTGAGCTTTAGAAGTATTGGTAAGTGAACTTTTTACAGCATAGCATCTTCTATTTGTTTATATTGTTGGTTTGCTTGTATAGGCAGTGGCTGACACAGCATTAGTGGTTGGAAACATGTAATATCTGCTTAGATGTTACAGTTTGTTCACTGTTAGATTGTTATTACGTAGTTGATAGGGGAAGAAAGCACTGCTCTGCCAGTGGCATTTGCTAGAGAGCGACTGGCTTTTGAATTTGTTACGCACCAAATATAGCTTGCCCAGGGTACGTTTGAATCTCAGGTTTTAGGGAAGTGCACAGATGTAAAAGCACTTCTCTAGTGCACAGATACAAGTCAGTAAAGTCAAGGTCTGACATTTTTGAGTGGATGGGATCTTTAAAATATGTTACCCCCATACTAAACATGCAGACATTAAATTGGCATCAATCTTCTAACTTTCAAAAGAAAGTATATTTACCAAAAGGGTGAACTATTTCTTCAAACGGGTAAGTTTCTGTTGCCTGTTAATGGTTCAACTAATTGTTTCAGCAATAATGTGAATTACTATTATGATTGTTTTCACTGAAATTCAGCCATTTGCTAATCCTCATACCTGAAATGGTTTACATCGGACGGGAAAGATTCAGTATTTTACTCAATGGCCTGATGAAAGCAATGTCTTTTGCAAGGAATTGAACTTTTAATTATATGATTACCAGTCGGATTTGTGAGAAAATATATATACCTATTCTCACTCATAGTTCATTTTAACATTTGGTCTTTTCACCCTCTGTTAATGTCAGAGACCCAGAACAACCATTACATAACTCTAAACTATTCTGAGCAAGGTATGATAAGTACGTGGCACATGAATGATGTGTATTTAACTCTAAAATCCAGGGTGGTTGCATAAGCCTGGTATAAGGGCACTGGTTATGTAAACGAGTTTCTCAAAAAAATCAGAAGCCAAGATCAGTCCTTCAGAGGCCTGATCTTCCTCCAACATCAGCAACCCTTTGCTGGGAACATGGATGTAGGCCAAAACCAGTGTGCTGCATTTTTCCTTCTTGTCCATTTCTGTCTGTTTAACAAAGCTGGCAGCAGGAATCAGCCAAGAACACACTGAGTGTATTAGCGGACAGTAAATGTCAGCTAAAAGGATACAACCGA